AATGCGGGACTCGATCCCAGGACCCCAGGATCATGACCTGAGCCCAAAGCCCTCAACCACTGAGCCACCCAGGTGCCTCTTGGGGCTGATTCCTAATGTACAGTAGTGATATTCAGTTTCCTTTATAAGCTCAAATGTATCCACTCTAAGTGAATCTGTTTATAAGCAAATAATAAGTGGATAAGACACAGAGCCTAGGTACTGTGGCAAAAAGACTGAGGATGGTAACAAATCACTTAAATTCAGCAACTCCTGCTCACAGCGCAGGGGCTCCCCATAGGTGTTGCCAGGTTCCCCCCACACACTTCAGCAAACGTATCCCCAGGCAACGGTGCCAGAGTTGATATCCAGAGAGTGAGGTACACACAGCTTGTGCTCCCCTGGGCAGCCTGATGCCCCTCCTTCCTGCATGACAAAAGTCTCCAACCTCCTGAGCTTAGGCTGGATCAGGGGGCTTTCATACTAAGAGAGGGGGGCAGTTTACTCCTCCATCCACCAGAATAAGGAGTAGAGTGTTGGGGAACCCCTGGTACTGGAAGCACTGACCATTGGCACAGAGCAGGTGTGGGCAGGAATGGCTGGAAGGCCTTCTCGAAAGCCTGTGGGCCAGGGGAGTGCTCAATGTTTTTTAATGGATGTTGGAGAACTTCTCATAGAGAGCCGTCACTAGGAGTCTGGCCAGAAGCTTTAAGTGTTGCTAAAAGTTTGGTCCTTCAACCTCCAACATAAAAATCACGTACTAAGGGACGCCTGCGTGGCTCAGCAATTGAGCGTCTGCCTTCAGCTCAGGGTGTGATCCCACAGTCCTGGGATCGAGTCCCACATCGGGCTCCCTGCATGGAGCCTGCTTCTCCCTCTGCATCTGCCTCTCTCTCTCTGTGTCTCTCATGAATGAATAAATAAAATCTTTTTTTAAAAATCACGTACTAAAAATATAGATTTCCCTTAGACTCAGGAGCCCTCAAACAGGACCAAAGAATCAAAACTTTTTTTTTTTTAAAGTAATCTCTATGCCCAACATGGGGCTTGAACTCACAACCTGGAGACCAAGAGTCACCTGCTGTACTTGAGAGAGGCAGCCAAGCATTTTTTTTAAAATTTAAGTTCTAAACTTTAATCAGATATATATATCATCAGGAAAATTTGAGGAACTATAATGGAAAAAAGACCAACTATAAAGAAAGACACCTCTCCCTCCCTCCCTCTCTCTCTCTCTCTTGCTCTCTGCCTGTCTCCCCTCTATTTCTATCCATACAGTTGGTCCTCGAAAAGCATGGGTTTGAACTGCGTGGGTCCATTTACATGTGGATTTTTTTTTACAGTATAGTAGTGTAAATGTACTTTCTCTTCCTTATGATTTTCTTAACATTTTATTTTTTTAAGATTTGATTTATTTATTCATGAGATACACAGAGAGAAAGGCAGAGGGAGAAGCAGGCTCCCTGCGGGGAGCCTAATGTGGGACTCGATCCCAGGACCCTGGGATCACTACCTGAGCCAAAGGTAGATGTTCAACCACTGAGCCACCCAGGCGCCCCAATAACATTTTCTTTTCTACAGCTTACTTATTGTAAAAAATGCAGTATAGAGTACATGTAACATACAAATATGCATGATCCGACTGTTTAGGTTATCAGTTAGGCTTCTGGTCAACAGGAGGCTATGAGTTAAGTTTGGGAGGAGGTGTCAAAAGTTACATGTGGGGGAACACCTGGCTCAGTAGTTGAGCATCTGCCTTTGGCTCAGGGCGTGATCCTGGGGCCCTGGGATAAAGTCGCACATCGGGCTCCCTGCATGGAGCCTGCTTCTCCCTCTGCCTGTGTCTCTGCCTCTCCCTCTGTGTCTCTCATGAATAAAGAAATAGAATCTTAAAAAAAAAAGTTACATGTGGATATTCGACTGTGTAAAGGTCAATACGCTGAACCCCTGTGTCATTCAAGGGTCAATTGCATACAAATCTTCTCCCACAGTGCCTGGGAAAAAAATTGCCACTCAGTGAGGTTTATACCCCCCTTCCTCTGCGTCTCATCTTTAATCCGGGGCCAAAGACTAAACAGACATCCCTCAATAGGAAAGTCTTTGTTTATGTGGCCATCTTCTAACAAAAATCGCAAAACTCCCAATGGAGTCAAATATTCTCTTTGCCACCCCCCTTCCCTTCAACTTTGAGACTCATCTGTCAGAATCATACTGCTATCAAAGCATCAGGTTGAAATGGGGTTGATCTGCCACCCCAGGCAATTCCACACTCTGAGAGCCCCCAAAAGGGTGTAGTCTCTACATGATTTCCAAATGCCTGGAGCCATGAAATCATCTGACACAGTCCTTCCTCAAAGGGTCCCCTCTGAGTGGCCACAACCGCAGTGTGAATGTGTGTTCCGGACCGTCTGGTACATCTTCAGGTAGGCTTCCTCAGAAATGTCCTGAGACGAAGATCAGAGAGCCAGTTGCTTATCTGTGAAGTGATCCAGGAAGCAGTGGTAGGAGAGTGGGGATGAGATGGGGGGGTGGGGAGGTGCAGTGCAGGGTGCTTTAATAAGCAGCCCCGTGCTGTGAATAACCGGGGTGGGATGGGGGTTGCTCAGACCTGCTGGAGATTTCAAGAGGTAAGAAAACATGCCTCTAACTTGTCCAAACTGAGGGGTCAATAAACTGGGTATTTGTCTAGCAATCTCCATCTGTCATCTCAATGGCCATTGACTCCCCAACACTTCAACTTGTCCTTCACATAAGCTAAGTACATGCCTATGCCAGGCAAAGCTCGTGGATAGAGTATCATCTGTGCTTACAAGCAAGAAAACTTGAAAGAAAAAGAAAGAAAGAAAGAAAGAAAGAAAGAAAGAAAGAAAGAAAGAAAGAAAGAAGAAAGAAAGAAAGAAAGAAAGAAAGAAAGAAAGAAAGAAAGAAAGAAAGAAAGAAAAGAAAGAAAGAAAGAAGCCATTGGGGTTCCTAAAAAATTTAAAAACAGAGCTGCCATCTGATCTAGCAATCCCACTTTTGGGTATCTATCCAAAGGAAATGAAATCACCATCTTAAAGAGATATCTGGGCTCCCGTGTTCACTGCAGGATTATTCACAACCCAAATGTCCATTGGCATTAGATGAATGAATAAAGAAAATGTGGTATATGCATATATTGGAATATTAGTCAGTCTTAAAAAAGAAGAAGGAAAAAAATAAAAAATAAAAAATAAAAAATAAAAAGAAGAAGGAAACTCTACCATTTGTTACAACCTGAATGGGCCTGGGAGACATTATGCTATGCAAAACACTTCAGTCACAGAAAGACAAATACTGTGTGAGTACTGCGTGACTCTTATGTGATGCACCTAAAAGAGTCAAATCCATGGAAGTAGACAATAGAATGGTCTTTAGCAAGGGGAAGGGAGAGAGCATAAGAGAAGCTCTTGTTCAACGGGGATAAAGTCACAGTTATCCAAGATGAGTACGTTGCAGAGATCTGCACAGCACTGTGCCCATAGTCAACAATTTGATGTTGTACACTTAACATTTGTTAAGCCAGGGGTGCCTGAGTGGCTCAGTCGGTTAGGCGTCTGCCTTCGGCTCAGGTCATGATCTTGAAGTCCTGGGATCGAGCCCTGAATCAGCCTCCCTGCTGAGTTGGATGTCTTGTTTCTCCCTTGCCCTCTGCCCCTCCCCACTTGTGCTCTCTCTCTCTCAAATAAATAAATAAAATCTTAACAAAAATTTGTTGGGTGCCGGGTGGCCCAGTTGATTAAATGTCTCCCTTTGGCTGGGGTCATGATCTCGGAATCCTGGAATCAAGTCCTGCATGGGGCTCCTTGCTCAACAGAGAGTCTGCCTCTTCCTCTACCCCTCCTTCCCCCGCTCATGCACACACTCTCACTCTCTCTCTCAAATAAATATAGTCTTTAAAAAAAATTCGTTAAGTCAGTAGATCTCATGTTAAGTGTTCTAAGCACACACACACACACACACACAAATATCAAAGTGATACGAGGACATTTTTGGAGATGATAAATGCTTATTACCTTGGTTGTGGTGACGGGAACATGAGTATATACCTATGTCCAAACTCATCAAATTATACACATCAATTCTGTGCAGTTTTCTGTACACCAATTACAATACAATAAAGCTGGGCTAAAATAGAAGCCACTGACACATATAGTGATGATGAATGCCGAGCAGGTGGTGTGCTGCTAAATGTTTAATGATGGACTCTCCTAAGCAGAACAGCCCTGGCCTACTGCATTTGCCAATGTCCATGGTGTAAATACTCCCACCACAGCTGATTCAAGCTACCAACGTGACATCACTGAAAACATAGATGGAAGCCCTCGGTGCAGTTGACTCCCATGTGTTGAGAGCAGACAACTCCTGCACAGCCCAGAGAGAAGATACAGGCAGGGCACCACAGCATCTCCTATTGGAGAGCGAAAGCATTTTGCTATAGACCTAGGATCTCACAACTTCATGTGACTTTTACCCTCTATTCTGTGATAGATCAATGCTTGAGCGTCTTATGGTGAAAGAAATGGAACTATTCCCAAATCTTTGAATAGTTTTCTACCCTAGGAACAGATGTCTTTATTTATTAGTTTTAGATCATCTCTGTCCCCACCTGCCCATCCCCATCACACTGGCATGCACCCACAGGATCAGTGAAAACCCATTTAAAAAGTCAGACTTCAAGAATTCCTCCAGTTGGTCAACTTCACAGTAATGGATATCTCTTGTTTTGCCTGACTGGCATCATTCCCCCTTCTTCTGATAATGACACTTCATTTTCCTGTCAACAGCTACTCCTTACCCCACTGTGAGTCCTCAAGCTTTATTTCTTGGCTTTAACAGTTAGCACATGACACAGGCCAGGTCAATGAGAGCAACGAGGCCTCCTGGAGCTAGGGACAAGAACCCACTCAGGCTCTTCGCTTGGAATTACTGAAAGAAGGCATTCCCTTCCTTTTTAAAAAAAATTTATTCATTTATTCATGAGAGACACAGAGAGGCAGAGACACAGGCAGAGGGAGAAGCAGGATCCATGCAGGGAGCCCGATGTGGGACTCGATCCCCGGTCTTCAGGATCAGGCCCCGGGCTGAAGGCGGCGCTAAACTGCTGAGCCACCTGGGCTGCCCAGGTAATCCCTTCCCATTGGATTACTAGGATATAAACCGAGAGCTGCTGGTGGCCATCCACCATGAGGAAAGAGCCCTCCTCCCAACACACACACACACACATACACACACACACACACACACAGTCGATTGAGAAATTAATAACTGAGTCCTTTGAATTTAACTGTGCCTGAAGACACTTCCAGGCTTTTTCTGTATTCTGAAGATACTTTCAAACTTTTTAATTACATGAGCCCATAAAAATCCCCTTTTCACTTAAGTCACTGTAAATTGGGTTTTCAGTTGCTTGCAACCAGAAGATTGCTGGCTGATTTATGAATCTGAGATCAAATAAGCTAGACTTTATTTAGTACACACCCTTCCAGCTTTCTCTCCTTGGCCCTAAATAGAGTTTAGCATAGACACATGAATACAGTTTTGGGGGCCCTGCCTCTGTAGGGGCTGAAGATAAATTCCACGCTGAGCTGGTCTGTGTAAGCTAGCCAACGGCACAAAGAGGGTCACTTCAGGATCCGGATGCTCATTTTCTGCTCGATGTCCATCTTCTCTAATGACTGGCAGGGGCAGATGGGTGGTAGTCAAGAGCTCAATCCTCTAGGCTTCTCACCTCCTCTCCTATCCCCAAGGCCCCACCTTTCCTTAGCCATCCCCATCCCTCTGCCCAAATTCCTTTCCCATGTCCATCTGTCCTAGGGACTCCTGAAGTCAACTCCCCAGGCCTCAGGGCATTCTGACCTTGGTGAACTCCAGGAAGGACACAGCCCCGTCCCCATCTTCATCCGCTTCCTGCACCGTGCGGTCGGCGATGCTCTCCAACTGCTCTTCTGTCACCTGCACCCCAACCATCAGCCGGAGGACCTGGGAGGCGGACAGGGGACAGCCATAAAGAGGAGACACTCGCCCCATCCCCCAAACCTTGTCCACATCATCCTAAATGTTATTACCCCTTTTGTAATCTATCTCTCAACCATTTTTTTCACTTCCCACCATATCCCAATAATTTCCCCTACTGCTTCTCCATTCAAACCCCCACCTGTCTCTCTATCTCACGTTCACCTCAACAGTATGCTCAAACTCATTACCCAAACCTAAGTCTTACAACCCAACCTCCATCTATTCTCCACCCCATCCCCCCTCCTCATCCTCCCACTATTCCCAATTCCACCCTCCCACTTCATCAAATCTATCACAGAGTTTCTGAATCTCAACACTGTTGACATTTGGGGCCAGGTAACTCCTTGTTGTGGGGGAATGGGGGCTATCGTGTGTATTGAAAGATGTTTAGCAGCGTTTTTGACTTCTACCTACTAGATGCCAGCAGTACTGCCCACTCCACTCCCTCAGTTGTGGCAACCAAAGATGTCTCTAGTTATTGCCAACTCATTCAGGAGGTAAAATCACCTCCAGTTAAGAACCACTGGTCTAGGGATCCCTGGGTGGCTCAGTGGTTTAGTGCCTGCCTGCGGCCCAGGGTGTGATCCTAGAGTCCCAGGATCAAATCCCATATCGGACTCCTTGCATGGAGCCTGCTTCTCCCTCTGCCTGTGTCTCTGCTGCTTCTCTCCCTCTCTCTGTGTCTCTCATGAATAAATAAATAAAAATCTTTAAAAAAAAAAGAACCACTAGTCTATTTCCAACCTCATAACCAACTGTTCCCCATCCATTTCCCAACTAAACCCCACCCAATGCTGGATTCCCACTTAATACCCCAGTGACCTGGGCAGCCCCGGTGGCTTAGCAGTTTGGTGCCACCTTCAGCCCAGGGTGTGATCCTGGAGACCCGGGATCAAACCCCACGTCAGGCTCCCTGCATGGAGCCTGCTTCTCCCTCTGCTTGTTTCTGTGTGTGTGTGTGTGTGTGTGTGTGTGTGTGTGTCTCTAATAAATAAATAAATAGTCTTAAAAGAAATACCCCAGTGACCTGCACCTCCATTGCCTAGTTACCCACCCCATCCCCCCCGCAACCCTTCCCTTCAACAGCCCATTGCTCAGATATCACATCTCTTGTTCTTGCATCCTTCCAACCTGTAGCATCTCGTGCCTGGAGATCTTTCCATCTCTATCCAGGTCATAGAGCTGAAATGCAACTGGAAGAGAATGGAGAGGGAGGGGAGGAGGAGGGAAAGCTGAGTCTTCCCTCCTTCTTTTCCAGCAGGTCACCCTGGAGGCTTGGGGGGGGGGTCATCTACAGGCTCGCTAAGAGGTGCGGTACATCGCTTGGGGAGGGGTCCCCACGAACTCACAGCGAAGTTTGTTCATTCGGCTGTTGAGGGGTTCAGGTTCCTTGGGGTCTCGCATGCTCGAGTCGTCATCATCGACAGGTCGAAAGTGAGCCAGGACTCTGACAAAGCCTGGGAAATCCACTCGCAGATTCCTGGGGACAGTGGAGTAGAGGTGACCTTGGCCCTCCGTCTGCCCCTCCCCCGACTCTCCCCCAAGCCCTCCCCCCCACACCCCCAGCGAGACCTCACCCGTCGGGGAAGAAGCTGTCTATGATGCGATCTCCCAGGGGGTTCACGGCCAGCGCCCCGATCTGCTGCAGATCCATGCGGCTGTCAAGTCAAAGTTCAGAGGGACGGAGGGTTAAGGAGGGGACCGGGTCCAGAGAGGCAGGTGGCAGGTCCTGGGGCCGGGTCCCTCACCTCAGGTAGCCCTTCTTGTTCCTGTCCAGCGCCCGAAACCGGTGGTAGAGGCGGAGCAGACTGGCCTGCGAGACTGCGGGACGGAAGGCGGAGGGTGACACGGCCGCGGGCGCTCCCCCTACCCCCCTTCCCCGGGTCCCTCCCCGGGACCCAGGGCGGCGCGGCGGGACCTCCCCCCCCACCCTCCCACCCCCCGGGACCCGGGGCCGCGCGGCCGGGCTGCGGGGGGCGTGTCGACGCGCTCCCGCGGGGCCCGAGGCACGGAGGCCGCCCCCCCCGTGCCCCGCCCCCTCCGCGGCCCCGCCGGGAGCCCCGCTCCGCACGCCCCCCGCCCCGGCTCCGGGCCCCGCGGCCGCTCACAGCCGGTCTCCCGCCGGATGCTGTCCGCGTCGGGAATGCGCGCCGCGTGGGAGCCGCGGGAGCCCATGGCTGCGCCGGCTGAGCCGCCCGGCCCCGCGCCCGGCCCCGCGCCCCGCCCCCCGCTCCCGGGCGCGGCCGCCCCGCTGGCCCCGGGGCCGAAGGCCGCAGGCCTGGCGCGGAGCCAGGCTCGGGAACCCCTGCGTGCCTCGCCTCCCACCCGCGACCCGGGCGAACAGAGAACAATGCCCAGGGTGGCGGGGTCAGAGGGGCGGCGCGGACAACGGGGCGTTTCATCCCGAGCCGGAGCCTGCCGCGAGGTCCCCGCCCCTCTCACGCCTCGGGACTCCCAGCCCGGCCCCGCTCGCGGCTCCCGGGCGGACGGCTGGGTCCCGCCGACCTTGTCACCCAGGGACACAATCCACGTCCCCCGCGCAGGGGCCCCGGGGGGCGGGGAGGGGAGCTGGACGGACCCACTTGTCGCCATCCCCCGGGGGCCCAGCCTGCGGCCCCTTCCTCAGGCTGCAGGAGCAGAAGAAGAGGCATTGAAGGACCCCCCAGGAAGGGCGAGCGGGGAGGGTCGGGAGCCGTACAGGGGAGGCTGGGGTGACCCGAAGGGCCCCTGGATTTGGAAGGATGTGGATGCAACCCCCAGCTACGCAGTTAACCCTGGACAAGTCTGTGGGACTTGCTTTCATCTCTTTTGTTCCTTCCACATAGCCTAATTGTTGACGGCCAATTGAGCCAGTGCTAAAATGCAGGAGATTAACGAGAAATCCAGTTGCCAGCTTCCGAGAAATCAAAAGTTCAGACGCCACCAGTTCCTGCCTGGCAACGGAGCTACCCCCGGGGAACACGTGCCGTGTGTAAATGCGGCATCGCGGCCTGACCCCTGGCCACAGTCTCCACCCAGCTCAGTTCCCTTCCTTCTGTGCCCCGTGGGACCTCTGGTAGAAGAAGCTCAAGTTGGAATGCCTTGAACCTCAGGCCAGCCCTCAAGCACCACAGGAACCCCCAGTCTGAGAGGGGGTTACAAACATCACTGTGACCAAGCTTAATATGGTAATAGTGGCAACAACAGGGCCTCTCATTTCGCGCTCACCATGCACCAACCACTTTTGTGAAACACAATGTGCGTGATTAACTCACACTCCTCAAACCACCTGCTAGACTGCCTGCTTTTTTAAGTGGTGGAGGCTGCCAGGGGAGCCTGTTGTGAACTATTGAAAAGCACGTATCCAGGCAGCCCGGGGGCTCAGCGGCTTAGCACCACCGTCAGCCCAGGGCCTGATCCTGGAGACCTGGGATGGAGTCCCACGTGAGGCTTCCTGCATGGAGCCTGCTTCTCCCTCTGCCTGTGTCTCTGCCTCTCTCTCTCTCTCTGTGTGTTTCTCATGAATAAATAAATAAAATACAAATTAAAAAAAAAAAAGCACGTATCCCCAGTGGGGGACATATCTCCCCAAGAGGGGCCACAACTCATATTCTTTTTGTGTATAAAACACAGATATAGGGATCCCTGGGTGGCGCAGCGGTTTGGCACCTGCCTTTGGCCCAGGGCGCGATCCTGGAGACCCGGGATCAAATCCCACGTCGGGCTCCCGGTGCATGGAGCCTGCTTCTCCCTCTGCCTGTGTCTCTGCCTCTCTCTCTCTCTGTCTCTCATGAATAAATAAATAAATAAAATCTTTTTAAAAAAGAGTCAAAGTGATCCTTTAAAAAAAAAACACAGATATACATATAGTGCATAAATAGCATATAGCATATCTGGGGTATTAAAATATAGTATTAAAATATCATGATTAGGAAAAATAGTGTAAAAACACTCCTTAAGGGCAGGCTGTAATGAAAAAAGTGTTAAGAAACTCAGTTGCAAAGGAACAAGTAACAGAAGTATCCAGTTTTAAATCTCTCATTATTCCATCTTCCTCTATCATAATCACACATTTACACAAATGTCCTAGTGGGGGCGGGGGATATATATATATATATGCCATTTATTACAGGAGTTCAAGTTCATAGCCACCCCGGAGACAGAGAAACTGGAAAAAACGGTCACTCTCCAGCCAAAGCCTCCATGCAGAGGCTTGAAGCCGATCAGCCTTGAAAATATTGATCTAAGAAGTGCTTACTTCTCTTTCAGATACCCCAAGGACCAGACAACTGGCATAAGGAAAGCTTGATTCCCTTTCAGATGCCTCCAAGGACTGAAGTGTGTGGGAAACCACATGGCTCCCTAATGAAGCCCAGCGACCACTCCTGTCCACTGCTGTGAGTCAGGCTGTGGGTGTAGTGTGAGTTAGGTTCTGAACCCAGGGAGAGCCAGGAGTCCCTGGGATGGAGCAGTAATCACCTCAGGCCCTTTTGGGATGTCGATCTCGGAAAGAGCTACTCCAACCTTAATCTGAGTCAGCGCCAAAGTAAATTAGGCCAGAGAGTAATTAACAACTCCCATCCACACACCAGCATCACAAGCCAAGAGGAAAACACGATGCTAAAATCTATTCCCGCTTTATGCACACAAGCAGGGTTTAAATCAACTTGATAGATTACCTGGCCACATCATTTGGGGTCATTTAAAAGGGGAGAGGCTTTGGCAAGAATTTCATCTGCAGAACCTGTTGGCCTGGATTCAGACTGAACATCTGTTTTTGTTTGGTTGGTTTTGTTTTTGCTGCTAAGCCATAAATGTTGCTGGCCATTTTTGATGAGACAGTATACTGAAGTTCAAATAGAAAAGCGCAGCTGTAAGAGGAGTCAGGGGCGCCTGGCGGGCTCAGTTGGTGAACTTTGTGACTCTTGATCTTGGGGGTGAGTTTGAGCCCCACTTTGGGTGTAGAGATACTTAAAAAATTTTAAAAAGGGGCTCCTTTGTGGCTCAGGTGGGTAGGTAGGTGGCTGCCTTCAGCTCAGGTCATGATCCTAGAATCCTGAGATGGAGCCCCAGGCCTGTGCTCAGCAGGGAGTCTACTTCTCCTTTTGCCATTCCCCCTGCCCATGCTTGTGTGCTCTCTCTCGCTCTCTGTCTCTCTCTGAAATAAATAAATGAATAAAAATTTAAAAATAAATAATTTTTAAAAATCTTTGAAAAAAGAGTAGTCAAGAAAATATGGAACTCTTACAACTCAATAACAAAAAGACAGCCAATTTTTAAGTGAGCAAAAGAACTTGAATACACATTTCTCCTACGAAGATATACAAATGGCCAATAACCACATAAAAAAAATGCTCAACATCATTAGTCATCAGGGAAATACAAATAAAACTACAATGATATAATCATTTCACACTCACTAGACTGGCTAAAACTAAAACAAAAACAACCCTCCCCCCTAAAAAGAACCCAAAGCAAAACAAAAAAAGCCCACAAATAACAGATAACAAGTCTTGGCCGGGATGTGGAAAAATTGGAATTCTCGTGCATTGCTGGTAGAAATGTAAAATGGTGCAGCTGCTGTGGGAAACAGTTTGGAGTTTTCTCAGTAAGTTAAACAGAATTACCATATGAGCAATCCCACTCCTAGACATACCCTAAAGAATTGAAAACATACAGGCACACAAACACTTGAACATGAATGTTCATAGCGGCATTATTCGCAGTAGCTCCCAGATGGAAACAACCCAAATGTCCACTGATGAATGGATAAACAAAATGTGGTATGTCCATGAAATGGCGTATTATTCAGCCATTGAAAAGAATAAAGTACTTATGCATGCCACAGCATGGATGACCCTTGAAGCCACTACACTAAGTAAAACAAACCAGTTATAAAAGACCACATATTCTACAATCTCTTTTACTATGAAACATTAAGAATAGGAAAATCTATAGAGATGAAAAGTAAATTAGTGTAAAGTAAATTGCTTAGGGCCAGAGGAACCACGGTATAAGGGAATTAAGCTAAAGGGTATGAGGTTTATTTTTTGATGTGATGAAAATGTTTGAAAATTGGCTGTGATGATGGTTGCACTGTGAGTATACTGAACCCATCGCACTGGATACTTTAAAAGGTAACTTGTGGGGATCCCTGGGTGGCTCAGCGGTTTAGCGCCTGCCTTTGGCCCGGGGCGCGATCCTGGAGACCCGGGATCGAATCCCATGTCGGGCTCCAATCCCACGTCGGGCTCCCTGCATGGAGCCTGCTTCTCCCTCCTCCTGTGTCTCTGCCTCTCGCTCTCTCTCTCTCTCTGTATCTATCATAAATAAATAAATAAATAAATAAATAAATAAATAAATAAATAACCTTAAAAAAAAGGTAACTTGTACATTATGTGAGTTATATCTCAATAAAGCCGTTCAAAACAAAACAAGAATATCCAGGAAAGCTCTGGAAAGTAAAAGTAAGGAGAGTAAGCTAACTAACAGATTTTTAAATAGACTATAAAAGTACAATAACCCCTGTGGTAACAGTGCAGGAGTAGACAGATATGAAACAGACAGGAAAGTCAGGAATAGACCCAAATACATACATGAATTTTGCGCTTGATATAAGCGGCATTTCAAATCAGTGGGGGAAATGTGGATTACTTGATAAATGTCATTTGGGACATCTGTCTTATGGGGGGAAAATAAAGCTGTACCCCTACCTCCTTACACCAAAACTGACTCCAGAGAGAACAAAGGTTTATTTTTATTTATTTATTTATTTATTTATTTATTTATTTATTTATTTTGTTGAGAACAAAGGTTTAAATGCAAAATGTAATTGTACAAAACTCAGAGAAGTCTCAAATAGATTTTGTCATAATCTTGAACTAGAGGTCTTTTTAAGCGTGAAATAAAGCACAGAAACCATAGAGAAAAGATTGGCCAATTTACGACGTGAAGTTAAAACTTCTATATGGTCAGAAAGACAAACTGGGGAAAACCTTCACAGTCTATATCAAAGATAAAAGATAATTTCCTTTAAAAGATTGTTTTAGGGACACCTGGGTGGCTCAGCGGTTGAGCATCTGCCTTCAGCTTGGGGTGTGATCCCAGGGTTCTGGGCTCCCTGTGAGAAGCCTGCTTCTCCTGCCTGTGTCTCTGCCTCTCTCTCTGTCTCTCATGAATAAATAAATCTTTAAAAAAATAGTGATTTTTTTAGG